CCCCAAAACCCCAAAACCCCAAAACCCCAAAACCCCAAAACCCCGAAACAATAATTAAAAATTGAAAAACAAGAATGGAATCAGTCTATTCAAACATGCCTGTTCTGAAAAGGTAATTGTGAATTTGTGTTACTCTTATCCTCTCTTCAGGCATAAACAGCTAAAAAAGAGTGTTGACTATCAGTCTTCATCACTAGACTCAAGAAATAAAACACCTATTTTAAACACCGAAACTTCTGGGAAAATTCACTTGAGCAGCGTAAGCATGCCTTCTTGGAGTTATGTGATAATATTTCTGAAATTTTAATGTTTACATAGAAATAAGAACTCATTGAACAAAGCTAAGAAAGCAAAGTAAGTGTCACCTCGAGATCAAAACTGATTATTAAAGAATAAAATTAAAAATGTTATAGGATAAGTAGAAACAATCGGCATTTACGAAATTTAAGTAATCAGATCAAGACTAATAAAGGTATAAGCTTTTGGCTCAGTATTAGACAGCAAATTTCTCCCATATTCATCCTCCAGCAACCAAATTCCAAATATTCCAAAATCAAAATAGCAGAAAGTACTCCTTCGGAAAAGGAGAGGCATCCAGATACCTCTAAACCTCAACAGAAGATCAGTGCAAATAAATAACGGAGGATCACTTGAAACGATTTCAAATAATAAAAATGTTGACCGTATCCCTCTACTCAACCCAATGTCTGAAAAGTCAAGGAGCAAAATTAAAAACAAGCTTAGACCCTTCTTCCGCAGGAACAGACATGAAACTATCACTCTCGATATGAAAAATAAGCCTCTAGGAGTTAAAGCCAAAACGCCTGCGAGTAACCGAAGACTGTACGATTTCTTCTAAACATTCTAGTTTTGAACAAAAAGATGCTAAGAAATTCCTCAAAAATCTTAAGAACAGAAGCAGACAGCTCCACAAAGGAAGTCTTATTCAGTAAGTAAAGCGGTTACCTATAGTATGGAGAATCAGCAGTCCCAAGCAAAAGTATTTTAGACATTGTATAACTTTAATAGTCGATATCAGCCTTATCGGTCTCTAAAACACTGACAAGGAATACATTTAATCCTGAGGCTCAGGCATCAAATCTGAAGTATAAGCCTAGAGCAAAATCAGATTGCAGGTATTCTATACCTCAGAAGGTAGTGCCCTTACAGAACCAGGTTGCGAAGTACTCGTATGCTACCAAGAAAGGTATCAGTATGAAGAAAAATATCCCTCCAAAATGTAAACTTGATTGTAAATTCCTATAGCCAGTGAGAACCAGGACTCATATATCGCATCAGCTAGACTCTTCGATTGTAATTACATGCACTTCTTTGCAGTCTGAGATGGCCATGGAGCTAATGGCGATAAGGCCAGCGGCTTTTTGAAGAATAAACTCCCAGAGGAATTAAAATAAGGAACTAAAATCAGACCCAATACCCAAAAATGAGGCAATGAAAGGTCAAGATTTGACCCAACTTACTGAGCAAGGAAAGTATCCTCAGAGCCAAGATGTGTACAATGCAATAGTCAATTCTTTCCTTGAAAGTAACGGACAGCTTATTAACCAAGAATTTGACACCAAATTCTCAGGAAGTACCTGATGATCATTACTCATCATTGGTAAAAGAATATACTGAGGAAACGTAGGAGACAGCAGATGTATCTTGATTAGAATTCCCAATTTAAAAGACCAAGCGACCCATAAAGAGCAGAACCCGTATTCTAACTCAAATAGCATGGAAGAATCGGGAGAGGAGGTTAAAGAGCTCCAGATCACAGTTCTTGAGCTCAGTAGAGATCACAAACCAGAAAATAAAGATGAAAAGGAACGAATAGAATCTAATGGAGGAGAAATCCAACCATATCTCAATGATAAAGGCAAGCAAGTAGGTCCAATGAGAGTGTGGGTAAAATAGCCAGAATTTCCCAGGATTAGCTATGTCAAGATCTTTCGGAGATCAAGTCGCTTCCTATGTGGGGGTCTCTGTATATCCTGAGATTAAGGAAACAACACTCACTCCTGATGATGCCTATGTAATCATAGCAAGTGACGGTGTCTGGGAGTTCATGGAAAATAGAGAAGTAGCAGAAATTGTATATGAGTATTATGCACAAGGGAATGCAGAAAGAGCTGCTGAAGAAATTGTTAGAGAGGCATTCAACCGATGGAAAAAAAACGAAGTCATCATTGATGATATCACCTGAATAATTCTTTTCCTTGATGTTAAAAATTAAAATCAAGCATCAAACATATTTCAACCACTCTTCTTTAAAATGGGGTTTTGGGGTTTTGGGGTTTTGGGG